GAGTATCTCCTAGATGCACCTGTTCAGAATATCGCCCAAAAAAAAAAATGTATAGCACAAAAGGTTAGTAAAAATATTTTGTTTTTACTACTCTGTTTAATGAAAAGAAAATGGTAAAAGGATAAAGGAAAATGTCACAGTACTTTGAACATATGCTGTCGAGCCTTTAAATCTGGAAGTGGAATGTATATACGCTTGTCGAAACGTCGCCGAATGGCCTGTAATTAATACCAGTTAACCACAGCCATATGATGTGTCCTTGGATTAAAGATGAAGCCAAGCATACAAACTTCATATGTTTCTCCTTACCTGGTCAAGTGCATAGGGAGTATTTGTTGCTGCGAGAACAAGAACTTTCTGGTCATTCGTTCCCACACCCTAAAATACACGACAGATAAGATCCAGTGAAAAATGAATGGCTTCTCATCCCAAAAAAAAAAAAGATCTTGAAAAAAGGAATGACCTAAATTATATTTCATCACATTATTGGAATAATTTTTTATGAAAAAATGCCTTTCTATATTCCAGAGTATCAATAGATAGCAAGATGTAATGCAACTCTAAAACAAGGGAAGTTTATGAAACAGGTAGAATCAAATAAAAGTGGTATAAGGAGATCAACTTGAAAATGATACTCACTCAGTCTTCCTTACATATGTGATCATTTATACATTAGCAACAACTAACAATATAAATAGAGTAATAGAGATCAATCTACATGTCTCTGCTTGTACTCTATTCAAGGAAAACATGGTAAGAACAAATGGAAGAGTTGAAAACGAAAAAAATAAGGAAAAGCAAGTCATTCATTTTAATAATGTGTCATTCTTTGGGGATATTAAATTAAGAGTGTATCTTTTATTACTTTACCCCTTTCTCTCTCTCTCTCTAACAAAAGGGGAGAGTTATATATGCATTATTAGGTAATCATTCTCTAATCCGGTACTTCGATAAGCACCTTAATGGACTTGTTTTTCAGCCATTACATTATATATAAATGAAAGATTAAGATGCATCACACCTTCTACATATCTCAGTCATCCATATAAGATCTAACGGCTGAGATTCGCATTAGAAAATGATTGTAATTTCTATATAATATATACATACAGAGATAAGTACATAAATAGAAAAGTGCCAAGGCAATTTCAGTACCTCTAATCCAACAAAATCTAGTTTTATGACTAAAATTGGCTGATGATGAACAGAAAATAGTTGACATGACAAATATTATTTCAGCGAACCAGCTAAACAAAACCTTATCTAGCCTCAGCTAGTCTACAAGTTTCCTTCAGTTACTTACAAACTATATACCTTCAACGTTCACTTTGAAGTGATAACTAAAAAAGCAAACACTAGTAGGAAGAATTGTATAGTATTAGAAATTCGAAGGCCTCATAAGAATAGCCAAGGCACCTTAAGAATTTACTCCACTACTTCCCACAAAACAAAAATATACCTGCATCTGCACAAGAAGTTCTGTCTTAATTCGTCTAGAAGCTTCACTCTCATTGCCTTCTCCACGTGTCCCACATAATGAATCTATCTCATCGATGAAGATGATGGATGGGGCACTATCACGAGCCATTTGGAAAAGGTTTGAAACTAGCTTTTCACTCTCACCCATCCACTTTGAAACCAGGTCTGAAGAAGAAATACTACCAGAAGAAAATTACAGATTAAAAACCAGAAAGGACATCAATATGGAAATAAAATGGGAACACAAATAAGAAAGCATAAGCATAATATTCCCAATTCAAGGATACTTGGTGGATTTGTTACACAAAATGATGAAGCACAGGTCTCAGAATAAGGCACTCAGAGAACACCTCAAAGAAAGGGGGCTCATGCAGACAATACAAGCACTTGGTGGCTTGGCAGTCATATATTATAATGTTATCATTTCAATCAAAATACAATCTCTTTTTTCTATGAGTTCGGCTTAAAGTTCTCACTGAAAGACAGAGAGATACACGACCAAATAAAGAAGATAGAGAGAAGATATCTAGGGTCCTCAATAAGGAACGGATTACTTCGATACCATCTAAACACCCCTTGGGTCAACTTGACTTTATACGATCCTCTGCTTTCAATTAGAGAGAATCAATCCATACAGTGCAATATAGCAGACATTCACATATGAACAGTATCACGTTCTTCAAACTATGACACACACAAGAGCTCAAACATGATATTTGTAATAGCACCAGCAATGATACTATATTACCTGAAAAATGTAGAGTCTGCTTCAGTTGCAACAGCCTTGGCCAAGTATGACTTCCCAGTTCCAGGAGGCCCATACAATAGAAAAGCCCTCCATGGCCGTCTCTTGCCTAAAAGAATGTAAGTGGATACATATTAGCTTTTATAGGATGAATCAAAATGAAAACTCAACTTAGTAACTGTTAACACGATTTTCCAATGGCAGTAGAAACTGATTAATATATATATAACTGTAAACACACACGATTTTCCAATGGCAAAAGAAACTGATTAATATATATAACAGTAAAGACAACTTTCATATTAGCTTCTTGGTGTCTACCGCAACACATATAAAATGATGGATAAGCAGTTAAGATAGTAATAAGAAAGCAACAAACACGGTGCTTCAAGCAACCATGAAAATTATATTAGGAAAAAATATACGAATAATTAGGTAGGGCAAGGAACATATATAATGTAAGATACTGAAAACAAATGAACTCTTGCTTCCAAAGGGAACAATATTTCCAAGTAGGATAATAACTACTACAAACCCATCTTAAGTCTATTAACAACTTAAACCTTTCTATCGGTGGCCCTCTGCTTTTCCCTAGAAGAATGCAAACCATATGCCTGTGTGCAACCTTATGATTCCAAAAGGCGAATTTAGTTTCACAGACATGGAATTAGAAAATAGAGATAATATATGATATCAACAAGCATGAACGTGAGAAGGCCCTCCCCATCTATGTGACTTTCTTATAGTAAACCTATGAAAACTTTCCCCATTTAGAAAATATAATGCCTAAGAGCTCAACATTACTCAATGCAACAATGCAGCATCAGAAACACTAGAAGGGAAAACCAATTGCAACCATAATAGCTGTTAATCAACAACAGTATAATTCACACTGCTTTGAAATCCTAAACATTCAATATTTACCCAACTTTGACAAATACCCATTACAACTAAATCAAAAAGCTGAATTTCCCAGCTAGCATCAACATTACCAAAGAGTTAAGGCATAGCAAAAGCACAAAAATGGAAAAAGGAAGACAAAATGCCAAACCCAACTACTATTACAAACAAACGAACCAAACTAACCAGTAAAGAACTGCGGGAATTTGACGGGTAATATAACTGCCTCTTGCAAGGCCTGCTTGGCACTCTCCAACCCAGCCACATCGTTCCATTTCACATTGGGCTTTTCCCGTATAATCGCCGAATTGAGCCCGGCCCGGAGCTTAGCCTGCTCCGGATCCTCACCGTCGCCGCCCTCCCCGTCTTTGGGTTTGGTCTTGGGCCTAGTGGCCACAGCCGCATCCCCGTTGGATGCAGGCCCTGGACCGCCGTCATCCAACACAGCACGAATCTCCTCGGCGCGGCGCAAGTACTCGGTAAACTTCTGGGTTATGGCTTCCTTGATCTTAGGGTTCTTCTCGTACTTCAAGTGGGTCTTGAAGTATTCCAAGGCGTTCATGTACAAAGGGAACGCCTTGGCGTAATTTCCCGCATTATCTTCCTGTACGGCTTGCTTCACGTACTCTATCGCTTGCTCCTTGAAATTGCTATACATTTCTGTGGCTCTTCCCTTACCGATCACACATATAGAATTCGAAATTCCGGAATCGAAATCGAAATTGAAAAGGGGAAGGAAAGGAAAAAAACCCTAGGGTTTGAATAATTTCATCCGATGGGTGATATTAAGAGAAAATCGGGGATCGGAGGCTGGTTTCCAGGTGCAGATGCCCTAGATTTTTACTTCTTCGTTGTTAAGACTTGTTTGTTTATCGGGAAAAAGAGTTAGAAGAACGGAGGGGAGAGGAGGGGATTGTGCTTGTAATTTTACTTTTGTCAAGCGGACGCGTTTGGAAAATGGAATACTATTTAGTCCATATGTTTTGCAAGAGGGAAGGTTCGTTCTTTCTTGATGGAATTTTCATCTCCAAAAAAAAAAACTTCGAAAAATGAATGGTGGTAAGGGAAATCTTCTTCAAATTAAAGTTTGATTATCAAAAAATGAGTATTTAAGTAGCCGTCTGGCCGACAGAGTCTAGCCCAATGAAAAATATTTTTTGTATGTTATGTCATGCTAAAATAGGTTTTTTAGTGAAATCCTCTTGTTTGTAACCCTTTCTTATGAATGAAAATTCAGTTTGACAACAAAAAATAAGTAAGTAAAATGCCTTTATTATTTTTGTTTCATGAGAGGCAAGAATTCATCTTGAATTTAAATAGTAGTAATATAAGAGTAGTTAAAATTCTTAAACTTTAAATAATGGTCAAAACCTCCTTTAAGTAAGTGGTTAAAATTCTAAAAATTACAAGATATTGTGACTTAATTTATATTTCTAACCTATCATAATTGGTTTATATTAATACCATAATTTTAATTTGTGATATTGCACCTTTGATATGCATAGAACAAAATAATGACCCAATAATTTGATAGTTGTTTCTTTTTCTTTTTCATTTTTTTTTTTTTTTGGGAATGTGATCAAATTAGTTAGCGTAGTTTAGGCCTTCTTCAATTGAATCCTTTGTAGTTTTAGTTATTTTTTCCAATTAGATCCTTGTAATTATCTCTTGTCAACAATTAATAACAAATTTTATAAGAACGAAATGGTGACACTCAAAACCCACATTGAGTTTATTTATTTATTTATTTATAGCTTGATACCCTAATTAAGTTCAGGTTTCACTAAGGATAAGTTAGGTTATAACTTCAAGGAGAAACAATAATAATTGTCATAATATTACATATCAATGATATCGTACTTAAGGTTCTCTTCATAATAGATGCGTTGTTGAGCGCCGGTGGTAGAAAAGTGAAAGAGATGGGAAAGCGAGACAAGAAACAGAGACACCAGCCAAGAAGAGCTGCCTTTCACTACACTGAAGAAGACGAAGAAGGTGTTGGTGATGGTCATTACGAAGGTCACTCCGCTTCGAAGCACACACTTTCTGGAGAAGAAGAAGAAGAAGAAGAAGAAGAAGAAGAGGTGGTTGATGGAAAAGAGGAAGCTGATGAGTACCCATCAAATGATTTGCCTTCAAAATTTCTTCTTTATCAACAATCTGTACAGGTTTGACCCGCGTACTACATTTTAATTGATGACATTTTTGATTGCTGATATGGGAACAGTATAAAGAATGCCAAACAGTTGGATAGGAAACTAGGAGAAAAAAAAGAAGAAGTAAACCCGAGTCACCTGAACTTAGTGCAGTTATTTGTTTTTGGTGAAAAGTTGTCAAAATTAAAATAATTTATTGGAATTGTTGATTATCTTTTTGTTTCTTCCCCTCCCTTAACACCCAAATGAATGATTTTATGTGGTTCTTCTGGAGGAGATTTCAGGTGTGATTAATTTGTAATTTATTTCATATGCAGTCACCAAAGGGAGACATAAGCTATCTGCAGAAGTTCTTTTTGATGTATGTGGGTGGGAGGTTACCTCTCCATCTCCAAGAAGATTTCTGTGGCACAGCCCTTCTTAGGTACATCACTATCCTTTTAATTGACATATCTGAACGGAGGTGAAGAACTATTTAGGGAACATTTGTGCCTAACTAGAAGCTTTATTGTTGCCATTTTGGTGCCATTTGTTGAGGAATTAAGTAGGTTTTCATAAAGATTGTTTCTTTATTTAAACATCACGGCCAGTAATATTATAAGCGGTTAGTTGCCATGTCAGAAGAAGATGAAGTCGGTTTGGCTGTGGCCCCCAAATCCCAGAAACTCCTTTGAAGTTTTATATAAAACCTGAAATCTGTGTATAAGTTCATAACCTTTTCAGATAATGAACCTCCCAATATATAGAGTCTAGCTCTGTCTAAGCCTATGTTTCTGGAAATTGTCTTGTGGGTTATGGAGATTTAGTGCTAATGACGTAATGCAGATTAGTTATGAGAAGGTATGGTGGTTGCACAAACTCGTTGGCATTCTTTACATTGTCAGGGGTCATGTACATGTACCTGTTCTAATTTCTTTCAACTATGATAAATAACTAGTGTGGTGTTTTGTTGCTAGACTTCTTTTTGAGTTATAGAGGTATCCATTGCCGCTATGTGGAGCTGCAAATTGCCCATTTCATAAGCTAAAAATCATTAAGTTCTCCGTCATAGTCCAAACACAGTCTAAAGACCTAACACTAACTCTATGTTTGACAGTGCAGAATGGCTCCGGACTGATACAAGAAGGACTGCTGTAGGGTTGGATTTGGATGTTGAAGCACTAAATTGGTGCATGGAGAACAACATAAATAAAGTTGGGGCTGATGGATATTCCAGAATGTCCCTCTTTCATGGGAATGTCTTGCAACCTCTTGAGGCCAAACTAGTTAAATTCGAGCCCCAGGAACTGATAAGAAAGGTGTCACTCACTGAGAACAAAGATAATTTGGAGAGTGATGAAGTGGAATCTACTCTTGCTGAGGGCTCTTCTTCCTCAAATGATGAGAAATATTTGAGGAACCATCTGTTGCCTGCTAGAGATATTGTGTGTGCTTTCAACTACAGCTGTTGTTGTCTCCATCAACGTTCCGAACTGGTTCTGTATTTCAAGCATGCTCTTGATGCCTTGTCGAAGAAAGGTGGAATATTTGTAATGGATTTATATGGTGGTACATCCTCAGAGTGCAAGCTAAGGCTTCAGAGGAGATTTTCCAATTTTACGGTACCAAAGTTATTTTCAATATTCCTTACTTTTGTAACATCGTTTGTACTCCATTAAAAACTTAGTGTGGGTGTGGAAGAGGAAAGAAAAGGAAAGCAATATGAAACATATGGAAAATAAGCTATATATACATGCATACATATATAGATATTGGGATCCTCTGTTCCAGATGCCTGAACTTTTTTAAGTTCTGGATGCATCACAAATTGATCGACCAATAGATATCAATGGATAGGCAAAGTAAAATGTTGTGAAGTTTTGTCAACCCGATGGATTGGTGGGGTTTTTGTGCTTTTGTGTGTTTTTTTTTTTTGGGTATTTCTCATTCTCGAGAGTGTTGATTACTTTAGGGTCCCAAAACCAGAGAGGTAAACCATAAGAGATGAATGGGTACCAATCAATTGATAAGGAAAAAGAAAACTGACAAAAATTTACACAGGGAAGCTTACATATATATACATATATGTATAATACGAGTGTTCAGAAAATTTTAAACTGTTTAGGTTTCCAATTGAGTATCTAGATAAATGCATATTATTATTAAAAATAGGCATGATGTTATTATATTCAATAGGAGTTACACAGTTACACTACTAGCCCTCCATACCCTACCCCTGGGATCGTTTCTGTCACTTCTCTTCCTGCCAATTTCCTTTTCGCTTCACAAGCAACCCTGCAGTGGAGCCCCAAGTTTAAAAAAAAAAAAAAAAAATTTATTTATTTATTTTAAATCTTCCTCCCCTTCATGGCTGGTGAATTATCTGTTACTTGAAGAAGCAATAAGCTACAATATTTCATAAGAAGCGGAAGTCTATGTTTTCCTTTTAGCAGATTACTATTTTTGGGGTAAAATTTTTAGCATATTACCATTAAGTTTGCTAAAGAACATTTAGGGACTATCTAATAGTTTATGTGGTCTCACCTCTATGATGGAGAGCAGATCAAGTCCTGTGACTAAATATTCTTTACTTGCAAAGATGTCTATCATAATTATGTAAATTGCTATTGGCTTGTGCAGTATGTTTGGGAGCAAGCTGAGTTTGATATCATTGAGCGCAAGACAAGGATTAGCCTTCATTTCCATCTCCAAAAGCAGCAGAAGAAAATTCGACATGCATTTTCATACAGTTGGAGGCTGTAAGTTGTTTTGTTTTTCTAGTTACTGGTCTTCTATATCGATATCGTAAAGGAATATCAAGTGTAGGCTTCATGATGAATATTTATTAGATCTTGTATTCCTGGTGAATTCTGAATCGTTTTGAGGCAATTGTTTCATATGCCCAGGTGGTCACTGCCTGAGATTAAAGACTGCTTAGAAGAGGCAGGATTTCAGTCTGTTCATTTTTGGCTGCGGAAGATGCAAGACAGCAGAGATATCAGAAAAACAGAGGGTTTTGGTGTCGGGCGTGACATAAAGTATGAAGAGATTAAACATTTTCAGCAACAAGACTCTTGGAATGCATACATCGTAGGTGTTGCATAGCTCCATGCATCAAGTAATCTCTGAGTTGAGGTTGCATTCAATTGCTCTGACCAAAAGTACCTTAGTTTTCCAATAAGTAGGTGCTGAAGAGCTGCTTTCGAAAGCTAGGAACGTTTATGTACTTCAAAAGTTAGCTTGCAGTCTTCACTGTGAATTTTGGTACTTGTTACTGTTTCACTTAATCTCACAGTTAATGTTCTGAAATTTTCCATTTGGGCCACCTTGTTCTGAAATTTCCTGTTAGAGAGATGTCATTTTATCTTATTTGGAGGAAATGTTTTTGAACAAATAAGGAGGAAGACTATTCACAACCTTGGTTTTCAAATGCTAACTGATGCAGCTATAATTGAGTTCTGATTGCTTTGCGTAAAAATTGTTTTTGGAGTTTAGTAAAGTGAGTTCGCTGTGCCATGAAAAACAATTTGGGATCTTTCTCGAAGGTAGGTCATGGTTCTAGAGTAATGCTATAACTCATGTGCCGGATGCATTAATGGTACATTTATTAATCCGTAATTACATTAGGAGGAATTGAATTGAGGATGAATTGAATTGATGATGAATTAAATTGAGGAGGAGTTGGATTGAGTAGAATTAGATTCCGGATTCTTATTGAAATTGTTTATTAAATCATATGGATTGAGGAGAGTCAGATTTCAGATTCCTATTGAAGTTGTTTACTAAACCATAAGGAATTATCATCCAAAAAGAAGAAGAAAAGGAATTAGGGTACTAAAATGTCCTCATTGTTGGGTTAAAATAGATGGCAAATTTGGAATTGTTAAAATTGTGTGAAGATATAAAGGGTATAAAAGATGAATTCCTAATAGGTTAATTCTCTAGGGATTAGGGCCAGTTTGGGATTGCTGTTACTTTTTAAAAAAGTTGATTATGTTGTGCTTTGAAAATAATTAGCTGTAAAGTAAATTAGCTTCATGTTTGGTAAACAATATTTTTAAAGTGTTGTTAGTACAAAAAATAGTGTCAAAATCATTCGGTAAATTTTAATATTGCACTGTTGTAACTGTAAATAATGACTAAAATAGATATGATAATGCACTAGTCATATGGTAGTAGTGGTGGTGGTAGAGGTGGTGGTGAAAGAGATGGAGGTGAAGGTGGAGGTGGTGTTATTTTTAAAAATTAATGAGGTATTTTGGGAATTAAAAAAATTCATTAAAGGCTCATATCTGCTTCTTTTGAAAGCAACTTTGAAATGCAACCCAGAGCCTGCTTCTAAAAGCTGCTATCAAAAGGTCACTGCTTTTAAAATAATCGGGATATTTTATTTTTATCAAACACATTAAACTGCTTAACTTTAAAGATAAGCAAGTTTTTGGAGAAAAAATATTCCCAAACAGGGCCTTAGAATACCACCTCTCTCATCCAAAACTTCAATTCCTCCAAAATCATAAATTCAATTTCTAATTTTGTATGAGTCCCACTTACTTTTTAGTTCCTTGATATGAAATAAACGCAGAAATCCTCTATAAGTGAAATTCAATTTCTGATAAAAATTTCAATTCATGATTAATAAACACTCCATAAAATCGACCTGGTGCGTTTGACATCTTTTACTCGTGACATTTTAACAATAACCAATTATAGCCTTGGATGGTCAAAACCAACCCGACACCAGTACCAGACCCCACAAGAAAACGATATAAGCGGCCCATATTGGCCCTTTGGACCGAGGCTGGTCCAAAATGGCGATTAAAAATAAAATTAAAAACCCCCTGGCGTGGCTTCCACGACTTCCAGAAAGATAATCGAGATATTTAATTACTTATTTGAAATTTTTTGAATGGCCTTTAGTAAAACCCCTTTGTTTTTTTCTATTTTACGCGCATTAATAAGAAACCGCCAGGCAGATTTCAACAGATAAACCAGCGTTTGGTAGGAAAGAAAATTAGAAAGAAAAAGAAAAAAAAAAAAAAAAAGGAAGGAGAGAGGAGAGAGGAAGAAGCTCTCTGGAATTTTCTTTCCTTTGAGGACCAGGAATCCCAATCCCAAGGGACCGCCTGATTTCCATTTCCTCTTCTTTCCTGGTTCGTTTGGTTTGGGTTTCCTCTCTCCCCCTCAATATATTTATTCACCCTTCCAGATTCTCTAGTTCTCCCCCAAGAATCGTCAACGAACATTCGGATTTCGAATTTGCCTTCTTAATTCTCTTTCGCAGAGCATTAACGAAATCAAATCCTCCATACAGGCAAGGATCTGTTTGGTTCACCGGAAAAGTTGAATTTGCCTTCTTAATATTGTTTGATTGATTTGTTTCTCTTCTGTTTGAATAGGCAAGGATCTGTTTGGTTCACCGGAAAAGTTGACCGGGATCGGATATTTTCCCTAGAAAATTAAATAGTTTTTCTTTTTCCTGTGGTTGCAGAAATCGAAATCGAAATCGAGATGGCTGAAGAACATCGGTGCCAGGCTCCACAACTATGCGTCAACAACTGCGGCTTCTTTGGAAGCCCAACGACGCAGAACTTGTGTTCCAAATGCTACCGTGACTTGCAGCTCAAGGAACAACAGACGCTCACTCTCAACCAAACCTTAATCTCATCCGCCTCTGCCTCCTCCTCCTCCCACTCGTTCTTGTCTCCGCTGATCTCCGCCACGCCGTCGCACGACGCGCGGGTGGAGCGCGTAGTGGAAACGAAGGAGGAAGAGGAGAAGGTCGTGGGGGAGGCGCGGGCAGCGAGGCAGGCGAACAAGTGCATGACGTGCAGGCGACGCGTTGGGTTGACGGGGTTCAAGTGCAGGTGTGGGATGACGTTCTGTGGGACCCACCGGTACCCGGAGCAGCACGCGTGCGGGTTCGACTTCAGATCGATGGGGAAGAAGCAGATCGCCAAGGCCAACCCGGTCGTCAAGGGCGAGAAGCTGCAGAGGATCTGAGAATTGTCAAAAATTGTCAGGGTTATAATGGTCTTTTTACTTTCCGTTGTTTGGGAAATTTCTCTGTCGGGGTCTATGTTTATTGCGTGGTCGGTCCTTGTAAAAATTTAATTTAATGATAATTTAATGGTTTCACTCGTTTTTCTTTTATAGATATTTAGTTATATACCTATTTTTAGTATTAATAATATAAATAAATCTTACACTATTTAATTTTTATAAACAAATTCAAAAAAAATTCAAAAAATGACAGCTAGTCTTATTGAATTTAATTTTTATTATTAAATTACTTTGATGTCCTATTGAATGTTTTGGGTACTTTTATGAGGTTTTGGGATTGAGTTTATTTTAAGAAATTGATGGTAGTTTTGTAATTTATAAAAAGTTAAAAGCCTCTTTGTTATGTTATAAATGAGTTTTGGATGTGTTTTTAAAATTCATTTTATATATGGTTTTTTTATTTATAATTTGAATCCCTATATTAGATATAATAGTGAATCTCCCTTTCTTTTAAAATAAAAATATTTTAGCCCATGATTCAATCAGAAATATTAAATAAATAAAAACGAATTGAATGCAAATTAAAGATGTGCAGCAGAGAAAATGGCATTAGATGGTAAATTGATTGGTTTTAATGTTGAATTTCAATTATTTTGAGGAAAATTGAAGGTAGACTTTGTAATAGGACTGAAGAACCAGAAAATTTTGTTGCAAGATATAAATTTGTAGAAACTTTTGTGTGCTTCTTTTTGCGCTTGGGATGTTCTTTTCAGATTTTTGATGTGGGAGAAAGGAATCAAATACCAATTGGGATATTCTTAGGCCTGCTTGAGCCTGAGCAAGGGAATTGGGCTCCTGCTTTCAGCTATAATCGAGCCTTTGACAAGGGCCTTACACAAGCTTGAAAATTCAATTTGAATTTCAAGAAAATTCAATGGAATGTTTGAGGATAGAGAGGGAAACAACCTTTGTAAATACTTCATGAGTGATCTCTTTGCACCCAATTGTGGTTTTTAGACCTCCAATTATTTTAAAGAATTGTTATTACAATACCTCCATGAGGTTGATGAAACTATCAAGTTGCGTCTTTTTTTTTTTTTTTTTTTTTTTTTTTTTTTTTTTTTTTTTTTTTTTTTTTTTTTTTTTACGTTATTTATGGTCTTCAAGGTCAATATGGGTGCTCGCAAGTAGTTCATGTCATCAATTTTTGTCCAAAAGTTTATTAAATTGTTGACGTGACACACATGTGGGACTCACATATTCAATAATATCACACCATGTGGATTAAATTAAAAAATATATTTTAAAATTGTAAACCATAAAAATTAAACATCCTTTAAACAAAATTAAAGACAAATTCACTTGTTACCGAGGTAAATACCCTAGGTCAGAGTTAGGCCCAAGTTGAAGGTTTCCTTTGTTTTAATAAATGTTTTAAACCCATGAAGGCGACACATTTGGTGGTTTGGATTGCACCACACTATTTTAATTAAATTGAATAAGTGTCATGGTAGCTATTCAGTGAACTTATAAATGTTAGCATTAGACTTATTAAATTGGACAATAGTCCAACATATTGTGCCTTACTCTCATATATGAAGGATATATGGTGTTTTTCTAAAAAAACAAGGTTCATTTAGACATCTAGATTATCAAAAATTCATTTGAACGAAAGACTTTAAACAAAATCCTAGGGCCTAAAAGCAAAACCTTTCAAAGGATCTTAAGGTTCGAAGACTTGATGTGCATTGCAAACTACCATACTTGAAATTAAAAGAGATGAAGGTAGATAGAAACTCACCCTTGGAGTGAAACTTGAGTCCAACCCAAGTATTCCACCAAGTGATGGTGGTAGGATCCACTTTCTACTTCTCCTCCAAGCCACAAAATAGTGACCTCCAAAGTCTCCACACCAAGCTTTCTCTTTGGAATGAAGATAATACACAAGAGAAGTATGTGGTGCTAGAAACATTTCTAAGTATGTATTCTATATATTCATTATGTTGTCTTACTACTCTTTTTTCTTTTCAACATAGTAGTTATATTATTGGTTTTTTCTTCCCTAATGGGGCGGGCCATGGAAATGGCATACCCACCCCCGATTCAACTCATTGCCATCCTTAAACGAATGAGATAAAGCCAACTCTCCATTACTTGATTACTATGCGAGATAAATACCTGGATTATCAACAAATCCACCTCTGTTGTTTCTATTCCATGCCTTTTAGGTCTTATAAAATAACACAAAGAAATATGTGATCAGAAAATAATATAAACAAACTTCATAAAAGCACAACAATTTATGTACA